TTATACAAAATAAAAAAATAAAATAAAAAAATTACAGTAAAACTATGCAATTAACTAAAGAAAAACATTAAAAATTATTTAAAAATAAATATTAAATTTTACAGTTTATGTCTACATTTATTAATATATATTATATTTATTTTATTTATTTATTTAATTATTTATTTATTATTACATTTATTTACTTTTTTATTTTTATTTTTTTATATGTTATATTATTATATCTTTTAATTAAAAAAAAGAGAAAATTAAAAATCTTCAAAAATGAAAAAATATTATTAGTTATATAATATGATATAATAATATTATTTACTCACTATACCACCACTTGATTTGTACAGAACAGATAAGCCAATTATCTTCAGGAATTTACTTTTTTTTGCATAAATACTTGGCAAATATGGCTTGGGAGGCCAATACACAACTGCCTTTTTGTCTCATTATTTATTTCTTTTACCCATTTTTTATAACCAACATCAAAACACACATCATTCTCATCACTGCATATCTTCATCCTTATCTTTTAGAAATTTTTGCAACAAAGTACTTTTTTTTTTTTTACGTAGTGGAAATCCTCATGGATACCCCCGCCCTCTGGGTAGAGGGCGGGCGGTTATGTGGGACTTCTTACTCTTCTTGGCCGATCCACGAATGGATCGGTCAGGGGCGCAAGACATACCTCACTAAACCACTACGGATACCTTCTCGGGCGTTATTAGGGGGCGGCCAGGATGCTGATATCCCATGCCTACTAGCCGCCCCCCCGCCTTAATCCCTCCTGAGGAGGATGCCACTGAAGGCGGCACCCTCCCCCCCCGCAAGTGCAGGTCTTCGCGGTTGCGACGCAGGGCGGTATCAACCCCACGCCGCGCCCTCCCGTTGGTTTTGGGGGCGGGGTCACGGCTCGAGTAACAACAAAGTACTAATAAAAAGATATAGAAATAAAGATATAAAATGTTACAATTATGGTATTTTCTTAATAAAAATTAATTAGATTAAATATTGCATGTGCACAATTTTTTTGAAATCTACTTATCCCTGTATCTATATAAGTATTGATAAATAAAACAGGTTTGACGACTAGTCCAAGCCTTTTCTTTCCATGACCAATAAAAAAAAAGAAAAAAAAATTTCAATAAAAGAAAGTTCAATAATGTATCACGAGAAAAAGCATATGGTGCCTTTGATGAAAGCTTTTCATTTGATGATATAGGTATTATAAATTTTGTTAGTTCGATTTCTAATATCACGACGTTAATGTCCAACAACGTAGGACGAATTTTAGTATGAATTTTATTATGTAGAAGTTTGTCATTTATTTCTTAGCAGACTTGATAAGGACCTGAACTAAGGTCGAAATCGAGACGATATTACAACTTGCGGGGAACAGAATTATATGAGTGCAAACTGTCCAACGAGGGTGAGCGGCGTAAAATATTTTTGCTGCGGCGAACGCGGACACGTAGCGGACAGATAACTGTAGAAATGCGTTAGGAGATATGATCCGAAATTATACGCCAAATATAAAATACGCGATGTAGAAGTTAAAATGAATTGATTCTTAAAGATGACACCTCCGCTCATGCTTGACAGGGCGGCTGAAAAATTAATCAAGTCGTTACCTGTCAACAATGACAAATAATAATCGCGATAGTTGAGTGGACAAAATGACAATAAAAAGGATTGATCCGCCAACTTTGCCACGTTCATCGCGTGCCCCGTGATGAAGGTAGATACCGCAGAGGAGTTGGACGCATTCGAAACGGTTTTAATGAAACTTGTCAATTAAAGACATTGGACGTCCAATTAACACCCACGAATGGACCTTTCAACTTCCAGCACCGATTTTTTTACGCACGCAGCGTCTGGAATGGGAGCGTTACGTCAGCTCATCAAACCGGCAAAAACAAAACACTCGTTGATATCAGCCGACGGATCCTGACGCTCAATGCCGCACGACCGAAGAGCGTCAGCAAACCGCCCGAAGAGGCTTCACGGATTGCCAAGGCTCACGTCACTAAGCACCAAGGAGCTGAGCCGCCGCACTGTACACTGTGTCGTGAAAGGCACACCTTGATGACTGCCGAGATTTCAAGGCCAAGACCGTCAACGAGCGTAAAGCATTTGTAGAACGAACAAGCTCTGCTACAACTGCTTAGGAAACCACCTCTTATTATCGCTGTCAGTCAAAGAACTGCCTTACGTGCGACGCACGACACCACACTACGTTGCACGGAGCAACCACGTCTTCACAGGCAGCTGAGGCCACCACACGCGCCACTACACTGACCACGACTCTTCAAGATCGAGATCATAAGGCTGTTCTTGCTACAGCTCGAATTAACATCGCCGATCGGTACGGCTTACCACACGCCGTACGCACCTTGATCGACCAATGTTCCGAGGTGTCGATCATTTCTAAGGCCTTGGCGCAACGTCTCCGCCTGCCTCGAGTCTCGACGGATCTCTCTATCTTCGGAATCGGAGGGACCCGCTCAGGATCAGCTCGTGACAAGGTCACGCTGCACGTCACGTCAGACGTGACCAACGCCGAGCTCCGCGTGGTGGCTTTTGTGCTGCCCCGCATATCATTGCAGCAAGGCTTAGTCTCGCGAGAAGAACGCAGCTGGCCTCATCTCGACGGACTCCAGCTGGTCGATCCTCGCTTCCTGGACGACGACCCAGCTGAGCTACTGCTGGGAGCCGAGGTCTACTCCTTGATCCTCGAGGAAGGTCTCCGCAAGGGTGACTCAAGGATGCCGATCGCCCAGCAGACCAGCTTGGGATGGATCCTGTCCGGCGGCTACGACGCAACAACAATCAACGGACATCGCCGCACATTCCGGTGTGCACCGCCGATCACGACCTCGCCGACCTCGTTCGACGCTTTTGGGAGCAGGAGAGCGAGCCAATAACTCGGGCTCCACTTACTCCCGAGGAAGCTAAGTGCGAGGAATTGTATGTGCGCACCGTCACACGCACGTCCACCGGGAGGTACATTGTGAGGCTACCACTTTCATCACCGCCGACGAATCTTCACGAGACTCGCCGACCAGCGGAGCGCCTCCTGAGAGCCATGGAGACCAAAGGCAGCCGAGATCCTCGATTTGGCGACCTCTATCGCAGCTTCATGCAGGAGTTCGAAGACCTACAACACATGAAGAAAGTCAACATTGCAACTACAGCGGATGATCTCAAGTGTTACTTACCGCATCACGGGGTCCTGAAGGAGTCGAGCACGACGACAAAACTCCGAGTCGTATTTAACGGCTTTCAACGCACACGGGCCGGTACTTCGCTGAACTCTCATCTGTTGACTGGGGCGAATCTTCTGCCAGCGCTCAACGACGTGTTGCTGCGATGGCGTTGGCACCGGTACGTCTTTGTCACCGACATAGAGAAAATGTACCGCCAAATCCTCGTACATCCTGAGGATTGCCGTCTTCAAACAATCCTGTGGCGTCACAATAAGACGGACAAAATCCAAGAATACGAGCTGCTAACAGTGACCTACGGTATGGCTTGTGCACCGTTCCTGGCCATATGAACGCTGCGGCAACTCTGTGCAGACGAGGGGACGCAATTTCCTCAAGGGGCCACAGCACTTCGGCGGGACTGCTACGTCGACGACGTGGTCACCGGCGCAGACAACCTCGACGATGCCATCAACCTCCAGACGGAGCTGCGCTACCTGTGCACGGCGGGCGGATTTCCACTGAGGAAGTGGGCCTCAAATAACTCCGAGGTCCTCGCGGGAGTCCCTCAAGAGCATCGGCTGCAGCAAGGACCGCATTTATGGGACGGAGAGAGCCATTCGACCTTGGGCCTGCGATGGCATCCTCAAGATGACTGGTTTGCCTTCGCAATACATCCGCGTTCAGTCACAGAATTCACGAAACGACGAGTTCTCGCTGAGACTGCACGGCTATTCGACCCGATGGGCTGGCTTGCGCCTGTCGTGATTCGGGCGAAGATCCTGATCCAGACCACATGGCTTCAGCAGCTGGACTGGGACGCTCCACTGCCTGTCAAGGATGTTCAACGTTGCAACGTTGTCAAGGATGTTCAAGGATGTTCAAGGATGCTGACACTTCCGAACGAATACGCCGCAGCGGTTTATTTCCGCATCTCTGAAAAGAGGAAAACATCAACAATTTGCTCATGGCAAAATCCAAGGTCGCACCCGTCAAGCAAGTCTCACTGCCTCGCCTGGAGTTGTGCGCTGCTGATCTACTCACCACGCTCACGCTGCATGTCCGCAACACGCTCGGCTTGGCGTCTACTCCAGTGTACCTGTAGTCCGATTCCAGGGTCACGCTCCATTGGATCCAGGGACACGCCACCCGCTGGAAAACTTTTGTCGCCAACCGGGTAGCTCATATCCAAACACAGCTCCCGGACGCTCAGTGGAAGCACGTAGCCGAGAAAGACAATCCTGCAGATTGCGCATCAAGAGGAATTACTCCTGGAGAATTAATCAACCACGCATTATGGTGGACAGGACCTACCTGGTTGGCACTGGACGAAACGGCGTGGCCCAACTCAGAGGTCGACATCTCAGAGGACGACCTTCCGGAACAACGCACCACCAGCCTGATAACCAGAAGTTCCGTCATCATCGAACCGGACCTTCTTCTTCGGCACTTCATCGGCTACTGCGCGTTACGGCTTGGTGTCGTAGATGGCTCAACGTGGCGAGCCGGGAGGTCACATCTGGTCGCCCGCTGCATCCTGACGAGCTAGACGCCGCTCTACTCCAGTGGCTTCAGTGGTGCAGGCGCTCCACTTGCCACGAGGTAGCTGCTGCCACGCAACCACCCGGTCCAAAGCTTTGAACAAATTGAACCATTAACCAAGGTGTGCTTCGCGTCGGAGGACGCCTCAAGCACGCTCTGCTGCCCTACGACGAGAAGCACCCGGTGATCGTCCCGTCGGCCTCCTAGATGACGCGACTGCTAATCGAGTCCTGCCATCGTCGGTTTCTGCATGGCGGCGTCCAGATGACTCTCAGCTTACTTCGCCTTCGATTCTGGGTGCCACGTGGAAGGACCGTCGTCAAGCAGCAATTGCATCGGTGCGTCACTTGCACGCGCTGGCGAGCTGCCACTCCACAACCTCCTATGGGCAACCTTCCTCGTGACCGAGTGACGCCGACTCGGCCATTCCTGAGTACTGGCCTGGACTACGCGGGACCCATTTCTATCCGGACCAGCAAGGGGCGCGGACACCGCTCACAGAAGGGATACATCGCAGTCTTCATATGTTTCTGGTCAAAGGCTATCCACCTCGAGGTCGTCTCGGATTACAGCTCCGAGGCCTTCATCGCCCCCTTACGCCGCTTCGTCTCTCGCAGAGGTCTGTGCACGGACATCTACAGCGACTGCGGCACAACATTCATTGGCGCCGATCGCACGCTGCGTGAGCTCTTCAAGGCGTCGACCTCCGAGGGCCATCACATCGCCCGCGCCGCCAACACTCAAGGGATCCGCTGGCACTTTAATCCGCCAGCGGCCCCTCACTTCGGTGGTCTTTGGGAGGCTGCCGTAAAATCCACGAAATTTCATCTCCGTCGAGTAATCGGCGAAACTACACTTACGTTTGAGGAGCTTAGTACACTCCTCACACAAATAGAGGCGTGTCTTAATTCTCGTTCGTTACAGGCTCTGTCAGACGATCCAGACGACACTTCGGCGCTCACACCAGGCCACTTCATCATCGGAGCACCGGTACCTGAGCCATCGCTGACGGGTCAATCAACCTCCACGCTGTCACGCTGGCGTCACCTGCAGCTGATGCGAGACCATTTTTGGCAGCGGTGGTCGGCTGAGTATGTGCACGGTCTCAACCCCCGCACCAAATGGTTCAAGGCCGAGTCCGTACCTCACGTTGGGGACCTCTGCATCATCCGCTCGGAGCTCACCCCTCCGACCCGATGGCCTCTCGCGCGAATCACATACTGGGGGGGACGGTATCGTCCGCGTGGTCTCAGTCTGCACCGCCACATCCGAACTCGTGCGCCCGATCGTCAAATTGGTCATGCTTCCGGGCGCGGATCGTATTCCGGGCATGAATAACGCGGACACGCCGTCCGCCGGCACGTAACTCATCTCTCATCTCGCGACACTCATTCACCACATAATCATCACATGCACTGTAACATTTGTCGCACCTCATTCTTCTCATCATCACCGCATTGCACTACACACTATTCATTGCACATCAAACACGCGTTTTCACTCTTGCAGCTGATCGCTCCGCACCACGCTATCGACTTGAGATTCCGCGGCCGAAATTCGACAACATGTTGTCACTGCGCGACAAGGCGGGCGGGAATGTTTAAAACGCATAAGAAAACATTATCCGCATAATAAAATATTATATTCGAATAGAATACTTTAGAATATTCTAGAGTATTCTATTCGAATATAATATTTTATTATGCGGATAATGTTTTCTTATGCGTTTTGAACAACTTGCATTTATATTTTTATGCGTAAATTTTTACAGATAAAATATATGAGTTGTTATGGCAATAATATAGACGAAACTAAGGCAACAATGAATGTAATGAAAAAATTAATGTATAACTGTTTAGCGAAGAACATAAATTTTAAAGGTATCGATCCGAATTCTACAAAAATTGCTTGAAAAAGGTCATTGTCATATGATACAAGATTATTTATATTTGCTTTTATTATTTTAATTTCAACTCAAAAGAAAATAGAGAATACTTTTTACAAAGCAAAAAATGGGCTAGCTTCAAATCGTTGTAACTCCGTGAAAAATTATTGTACTTCCGCACTCTCGATTTACGATCCCCTGCACTTGTTAGTTAAATACTATTAATAGTACGTTAAAGTAGAAATTTCAAGCTTTAAAATGTTTTTTTGAACACCTCTGCACGATGATTTTTCGCTAAGTTATGACAATAATTGTGAAAAAAACAGGTTTAGCTTCAAAGTCATGTAATTCGGCCTAAAAAAATCGTAGACAAATTAAAAAAAAAGCATTTTGTAGATTAAAGATTGTAGTTTATGGAAATTTCGTTGAATTTGTCTAAAGAATTTTTTTATTACGGTATAGAATGTTAAAAAAATCACGTAAATTTAAGGAAAAAACGATGATATTTTAGAGTATAGCACTAAGAAGATGAAGAGATTTTTAAAAACTATCGATAGGGTAGTCGAAACTTCAACAACTTTTTTTTTGAACACCTGTGTACCTGTTTTTCACGGAGTTATAACGATTTGAAGATAGCCCATTTTTGCTTTGTAAAAAGTGTTCTCTATTTTCTTTTGAGTAGTGCATATATCATCAATTTTATATGTATAATATATAATAATTATAATTTATTTATGACATAATTTTATATTTATTTTTAGGCGTAGTGATGTACAAAAAAGAAAATTGTGACATAAATAAAATTAAAAGAACATGTCAAAATTGGCTCAAGCAAGCTCCAAATCGGAAGCAAGAAACGTTAAAATCATTAACACATACATTTTCCTTTATTTTTATTAAAAACTATATATATATATAATTAACATATAAATTAATATTACTGAACAAGAGGCGAATAAGTGCGAACCGCGCATATACAAACTGTTTCAAAATAACCGTATCAAACGCTTAAGGACGAATTTTTTGGTCAATTAAAGACATTTTCCTTTGTTAGTAAAATTGTTTGAAACATCAATAATTTCCGAGCAATTTAAAAAAATAGTGTTTGCGCGTACGCTCGATTGCTGACGTTGAACGCTCACGCACGAAGCTACGGATCCTGACAATCGGGTTGTAAATCCGATCGTCGATATCCGTCTCGTGTATAGATTGCACAGGAAGATTCAAAGTGGACTGTATCTTAAGGAGGGTGGACGCGCTCCGATTGGTGCGCAGGATGGGTAACGATTTAAGCCACGTGCCGAATCGAGAACCAGAATACGGAATTATATGCACAATTACACAAAAACAATCCATTTATTAACTAAATTTGTCCGAGAGTCACAATGTACATAAACGCAAATTAATTTGAAACCTTTACATAAAATCTTTATCTATTAACGAATAAAATAGTCACCGCGAAAACACGTACGACGTGGTTGTTAAGCAGTCCGAAATGTCTCACTATATGGTATCTAGCATGTGTTGCATGGACACCACCGAAAAACTATTTGTTGCATAACAATTGCTAGTTACGATGAACACGCTCGAAACTCGTGTATCGAATCGTTCGAAATCTCACATTAAGATTTCGTACACGTTGCCGATTGCGGCGAATGCGATATTAAATCGCGAACCGAAATGTTTCAATTAACATGAAGAATCACTGATCACATAAATGTTACAGTGCGTTGAGCACCACGGGCTCGAAGGGATGAAAAAAAGGAACGCAAACACAATCACGACATCAGGTATCAGTCCCAGATGACTGATCACGTGATCTGCGCGCTCCAACTCACGTGATCTACGCGTGCCAAGCGAACACGCGCGAGCCTCATGTATACAATTATTACGTTCGTGGAAACAATCGGACTTCGGCACCTTGATATTTCACCATTGCGTGAATTCTGGTCCCAAATCACTGAATTCCGCTTCGTTAACAATGTTTTGAGCGCAAATTTTATGTCGCGTATATAACGGCGCACCTTGTTGCTACCGTTAATTAGCGAATGTCAAAGTGAACGTATTTCACATCTCACTTATCACTGAATCACAGCAGAATATCAATCTGATTATTTTTTTTAATCAAACGAACTACGAACAATTAGAATCGCGACGGAAAACCCACATGTGACTAATCGCAAAGCCGTGCCAGGAGCGAATGCCCAGGTTCGATGACGAGGCAGTTCATCCCCGATCGATTCGATAATCGAACGCTTGAAGCGCGGCGTGTAGGTTCAGTGCGTGCTGCCCCGTGCCGGATTAACTCAAAAATTATAGAATTTCAAATTATCGACCTACTTCTTCATTCTCTTTGAACAAATAATAAAGTTCTTGACCTGGGGTCAACTTACTTCTGAACATACCGCCCGCCTCGAAATAAAGATTTCGAAATGTCTTACAGTAACTAAAGAACTTACCCCAGGTTGGGTTTTTTTTTTTTGTTACATAAAGAAAAAAAAAAAGAAAAAAATAAAACGTTAATCGCTTAATGATTTTTCGAGTGAGATTCAGTGATTACATATTGAACAATAACAGGCATTTGGTTGCTTACATGATTGAATAACAATATTAAGACATAGATTCTTACTAAACTTACATTAACGCGACGCGAGTGGTCTTGAGTAGTCAAGGATATTGAGCGCCGCCCGCCTTAACTAACTACGAAGGACTTGACTTGTCCTAATTATGCGAACGATTGAGACGTTGCATGCGCATTATGGAGTTGGGTTTTCCGCAGTACCTGTCTTACGTTCCGACAGTTGATCGATTAAGTTAATATCGATAGGTAGTAGGCACAATTTAGTTACTGGTCGCTTGTATTCGGACGTCGCTGTTTTAACTGAGACGACTCGAGTTAACCCGTCAGAGCCCGGATGACAATGAATAACTCGCCCTAATTCCCATTTACACGGTGGGAGAAGGGGGTTTTGAATCAAAACCATTGAGCCAACCTGAATCGGAGGCGTTTCTCGACGCCACTTTGATCTTTGTTGAAGAGTATTGACATAATCTGACTGCCACTGCTTCCAAAAACGCTCCGTAATCTGTCTGAGTAATTGCCATCGCGACAATCTGTTTTCGTTCAATTGTAGAACGGAAGGTTCCGGATTCGTAGTAATGGCAGTCCCAATCAAAAGGTGACCTGGGGTCAGGAACTCGTAGTCATCTGGAGTATCATTGAGTGGAGAAAGCGGCCTTGAGTTGAGGATAGCCTCAATTTTGCACAACACTGTCGTGAACTCCTCAAATGTCAATGCGTGTGAGCTTACAATTCGACGAAGGTGGTGTTTGACACTCTTCACTCCTGCCTCCCATAGTCCTCCAAAATGAGGAGCATGAGGCGGGATGAAACTCCAAGTGATCCTATCTGTTGCGATTAAATTGAGAAAATCCGTATTGCGTTGAGCATCCCGATACGCGCGGGATAGCTCTTTATCGGCTCCTGTGAATGTTGTACCGTTATCCGAATACATAACTGCTGGCAAGCCTCGTCTGGCGCAAAATCGTTGAAATGCGTTCAAAAATGCTGGCGTTGAATAATCGCTGACCAACTCGAGATGAATGGCTCGAGTTGCCAAACATATGAAAACGGCTATGTAAGCCTTTCGTGAGGTGATTCCTCGACCAGCAGAGGCTCGAATGAGCACTGGACCGGCATAATCGATGCCGCTGTGCAAAAACGCCCTCGTTGGCGTTGAGACTCGAGTTGATGGGAGTTGACCCATTAACTGATTGGCTACCTGAGCTCTTTCTCGCGTGCATCGAACGCACCTGTAGATAACTGATTTAACTAAAGGCCTAGATTTTATAATCCAAAATTCTTGGCGAATTTTAGACAGGGTAGACTGAAGACCGGCGTGCAGCGAGGCTATGTGCGTGTAGCGAATGAGCATTGTAGTAATTGGATGATCAGCTAGTAGAACTGGATGTTTGGATTGAAATGGTAGATGAGAATGCTCCAATCTTCCGCCAACGCGGAGTAGACCATTTGCGTCTAGGAATGGATTTAATGATATCAGAGCGCTGTTTCTTGATAACCTCTTGTTTGACTTGAGTAAGTAAAGTTCTTGC